GTAGTGTGCATAATATTGCTTCTCCCACCGCATCCAGTTCGACGGCGGTTGGTGATTGTCTTCCTGCAGCATCTCCGTGTCGTGAATTCGCATCCGAAGCACAATCATGTCCTCGTCCACAAGTCTACCGTCGTAATTATCAGGACCACGCGACGACGCAGAAATCGTCAGAGGACGACGCCTACGCCGCATTTCCAGCAACCCGGTCTTTCGGTTAACGCCGGAAATGAAACGCCGCGGCGGTGGCGGAGCTGAGAGAAGAGCAGAGGTTTGCGTTGATGTAGACATGATGACAAAGCTTGCAGCTTCTCGAAAGTTTGACGATTTAAGATTTTGATGTGTGTTTTTGTTTGACAACGAGGTTCGTACGTGGTACATATATATAGATACTGATGCTGCAAATGAGAGAGAGAGAGAGGCCGCGTAGGAATGACACGTGGCAATTTGTGCGTGGCTTTTTCGGGGTTGGCATGTAGCACGAGCCATGAGATGAGAGTGAACCCTCCAAGAAGTTACTTGTCGGCAAAGTAATATTGTCACGGGACGGCAACCCAAATCTAATCCTTTGACTTTGGAGACACGGTAAGCAGAGTATCTTACAAGTGGAGAAATTTTTAATCTGTGACTGAAATACGGATGATATATTACGTGTTTTTACGTAAGTGTTGAGAAATTTTATTTTTTAATAAATGGTAGGAAATTTTATTTTTAAGTTATTAACTTTTTAACAAACATATCGCACAATTTATATAGTGACACGTAATGTGCCACCACATGTGACAGTCACCCTGAAAAATCTCTCACTTAAAAGTGTGATTCTCCATAGAATTTCGTTGGCTCATGATTTTGGATTTTTTATTAGCTCGTGATTTAAGCATAATTTTAGTGTCAATATTATAAAATACTGTGCAAAAACGTGAAACATAAAAAAGTTCATAGAGAGTTTGACTTTGAGAAAGTTTATTTAGCATTTATCTTGATTTTATACCTTTTGTGTAAGTTACTACTGTTTATGCATATGCATGTCAGCAGCCATCTCATTTTTTCTTAGGCATTACTTTTCTTTATCCAGGAGGATTCACAAATAAGAATTTTAGGGATCCTCAAATTGTGATCGTTTATGTATATAATCTGGTCAATTTTTCAATGAATATACATAATTTGAGGATCCTAAAATCTTCACAAAAAGAATCCGTAGAAAATCCTCATTCTTTCTTTATGGCACACTTTCGGGTATAGTTGGCACTGCCCGTGTTATATTTTATCGATTAATATCACAGTACCGAGGGTATTGTGGTCAATTTAGCAACGTGTTCTATCTTTTAAACATGTTTGAGCAAATCTCCGAAGCTACCGAAACGTATGGATGAGAACAGCAGCGTGACAAATGTGTTACAAAGATTTGCTCTCCACATTTAATGTACCGTTGAAAGAAATGCACGTTTTTTTTTGTTTTTAACTTTTAACTTTTTATTTTTTATAATAAGATATTTTAAATTACAAATGACTACAACGTAGAGACTCAAACTTGAGTGCAAATGGAGTATTGTGTGAATTTTATCTGCCACAACCAACTGACCTAACTTGTAAGATGAGTAATTAACAAACATAGAGGAGCTTGTGCAAGATGAGTAAATAACCTTCCATAACAACACTACTAATGCCCAAGTGATCACAAACCTTCCAGGACAAAGTCAATTGGCGATGATTCACTTGATGGCTGGTTTAATTCGACTTTTTCAACTGTTACGGGTTGTTCATTAACTTCATTTGGCTCGTTTTGTTCATCTTGTTCGGTATTTAAGAGCTCAAGCTGCACCGCCGGTTGGATTTGGTCAAGAGGTGTGGCCTCCAGCAGCTGGTATTTCGGTTTGTTTTTCGGAAGGAGAAGGTAAGTGGTGCTATACCAAAACAACAGTATTCTACTTTGAGCTACCATTGTTTCCCTAATGTGACGTCCTCCGAAGGGGATGCGTTCAAGTGCCTGCAAAATAAGGAGGAAACAGAGCCGAAGGTATTAGATATAAAATTATACATACCTCAGTCAAGCGATACAACGTTAATTTTAAGAACCATACAACATAGAAGCATAAAATTGTGGTACTAGTGCTAAAGGGTTTACGCCTATGGTTCTTACATAATATTAGGTTCTATTAATAAAGAGAAGACGCTTCATTTTCTTGAAAGTTCAAACAGGAGTTCTCCTTGAACCTGCTCTCCGTTTTGAATATCGTAAGAATGCTGATGATCAAATTGAAGACCCCTAAACTCATTGATGCAAAGACCTTGGAAAGCCCTGAAAGTGCACAAGGAAATATAAAACCGTAAGGTAAAGGAAACAATACATAGTTGTATCATTTGATATATCTAAGCAATCAAAACTTCTTTCGGGCAAATGGCAAGTGATCCAAGTGATCTTTGATCTTGCCATCTAATTAGAGAGACACGAGGAATCCAACGAAATACGATTGGTGTATTCTCTGCATTGACATAATAGCCTCCAAATACAAGAAAAACTGTCATAAGTGAAGGTCCCACTGCCGAACATCAATGGAAATGCTGATCCAACGGGAATCTCAGCCAACAACTTAGATAGAAGATAGGGTCCTAATGTACAAGACCCTTTAGCGTGTTCTCTATTTACTATTGCACGCTCCTTTGGGAACACACCCAGAGTCTTTGTTAGAGCAGCCATTGCTGTGTTTATACAGCAACCTGAGAGAAAATATCCATAAGTAGGACCAAAGGTAGTTAAAAACTTAGATAGAGACGCTGGTATTCAATAAATTTTTTGAATATTCGACTTATTAAAAACCTTTCATTTTTTTATTTCTAAAGCTCTTATATAATCAAATTTGTAGAAGTGTTGGGATTGCAGGAAATGAGCAGTGTCTCTACGGAAGTTTGATTCAGGAACTCAAAATCATGTAGATTTCTAAAGTGAATTAACGAAAAAAAAAAAAAAAAAAACCATTTCACACCTGAAGCAATCCCATTCCGTCTTGTATTGATGTCTGAGATATTCCCATTCTCCAAAAAACTGATGCAAATATGATCGCTGATGCAATTGACATTCCTGACCAAACTTTATTTGTTGGTCCATCACGAGAAGCCTAATCAGATTGTTTAGTGAATCAAACAGAATCAGGTAACTAGAGTTATAGTCATAAAACAGCCCAATTCATCATTCAACGTTCAAACCCACCTAAATAGATGAATATCTCCCTCACCGTTGAGTGCTAAAACGCTACTTAAAAAGTGTGGATGTTAGGTTGATAACGAGCTATATTGTTATAAAGCTTTGTCCTGACATTATAAAAGGAAGCAACTAATACAATCTTTAAACCAAAGTGAACTAATTTACAATGTCATCACTGAAAATCCTATATTGCACATTGAGCTAATCCTTTTGTTTTTTTTTTTGGTCTTCATGCTAAGACAAAGAAAAAGGTCTTACCTGCATCCATGCACACTTTAGGAGCAAGCGGAATTACCTCCACCAACCTCCCTTCTTCAGGACTCTGTTTTTCTTGCTGAACTTGGTTTCTTTGTCGGACACTTCCCTTCTTGTGATCCGAGTTGCATAGAGAACTAGTGACGATTGTTGTGAAAATGACTCAACAAGAGCATCTACTCTTTTCTGAGAAGTATGCTGGTGGTTCATCAGGTGTAGGACCAGCATAAACAAGTGCACCCTCTGTTAGCAACACGATGTCATCGAATTTACCATACACAGAACTTGTAGGCTGATTTATGGAGCAAATGACAGTGTGTCCATCGTGTGCAAGCTGTCGAAGGGGTTTCCATTACTTTCTCTGCCTGGTGGGCATCAAGTCCTAGAAGCACAACCGGTATATTGTGTCAAACAATGAAAGTAAAAGGTCCATTTTCTGCTTCCACGAGAAATAAAAATACGCTACAATAGTCATCTACCAGTAAATGCTAGCAGTAGGGGCTTGTATCAGTCTTCACATCAATGCTATCTTACCAACGCCAACTTGAACAACAGGCTGTGCTCACATACTCCAATCTTTCTTCAGAGGAAGATATCTCCGGAAGCTGCAGCTCCGCGGCAAGTGACAACGTCTCTCTCACCGTCAGCTGCGAGGAAAACAGGTCCTCCTGTCTCACATAAGCAAACCTTAACACCCAACACAAAATTAAACAAATGAGAACTGCAGAATAAGCACAAATTCCAAATGAACTACACAATGAGCTTTGAAACATAAACAAGCAGCATACTTATAGGCTTTGTTTGGACTAGGACTGCCATTTACCTCCAACAGTCCTGATAAACGTAGCCGTGGCGACGCAGCTAGCTGACCCGCAAGTACATTTAGCAGCGTCGTCTTCCCTGACCCTGACGGCCCCATAATCGCCAGTAGTCTCCCGGTTTCGCTTCTCCGCTTCCGTTTTTAAGCAGAAATCGAACCTAAGCATTCAAAATTAAGGAATTTAAATCTTTTATCCTACACATTTTCTCAGCGACCAAACCGGTCGTAACGGGACATGTCATAACCAACAGATGGAAACTTACAGCTGTGGAGGATTTGTCAGAGAGGGAGCAGTTGATGTTGCGCCACCGGATTGTGACTGGAATCACTTTTCCGACACCCGGGGTTTCGGCTTTGTGGTCTATCGCGTCATTGTCCTTGTCGTCGTCGGCGTCGGTCTCCGGTGGGAATTCTGTACCGGAGCCGGAAAAGAGGCAGAGCAAAAGAGCTGCGGCACGGCGGCTAGGGCCCGGCCCACCCCGCTGCCCCCGATGCCCAAAACCATCTGGCCCACTGAACCATTTCATTGAAATCGCTCTTGCGCGACGCGTGTCCCTGTTGGGGATAAGAGGTGTAACGAAATAAACTTCTGGTTGGGCCAGCCCATCACAGGCAATCCGGTAATCTTACCGTTTTGGGCTGTTCGAAGCATAATCCGACCCGCAATGGAATCGGGTTGGTGCGAATCGAATTTATCAGTTGTCCCCAGTAGACAAGCCCGCTGTCCTTGGAGACCAGCCGTCGCCATCTCCTTCTCCCACGTTCCCGTTCCAGTCCCGACCCCTCCTGAGTTTCCATCGTCACTCCGATCATCTTACCATGTCAGCAAGGTGTGGGCCCCACCTCCGTCGTCCCACTTTCGCCTGAAACATTCTCCACAAATTAACAATGGCGGACAACTCCAAGGAAGAGCCCAAGACTGGCCCCCAGTCCAATCGCTGGTACAACCTAACCCTCGGCCCCTCCTTCAGAGACGGCTCCGCCAACAAGTACTGCACTCTCCGATGTAAGTATCTATCCGATGTAAGTATCCTATCCAATCTGCCTCTTTTGTAATCCTTTTCGATTTTTGATATCCATCGCAGACGACTTCAAGCCGGCGTCGATTGACAAGACTAAGGCCGGGGCGCTGAAGAAGACCAAGGACAATAGGGTTACGGTCGAATTTCAGAACAACCAAGTGGGGAAACCCAATGTCACGTTTAAAGGGAGCAGCGAGGAGTACAAGGGCAACGACGCCGTATTATTCTTTGACGGCCAGACGTTTCGGTTGGAGAGGCTTCACCGCTCCGTGAAGCAGCTCCGGCATGACCGCCGGCCTGGGGAATCGGCGGCTGGTATGGCTGTAGACCCGCAGCTTTCTCCGGTTGGCAAGGCGCCCAAGCTAACGCATCAGTATAATCCTGCTAGAACTGCATTCCCCGTCGTGCCGGTAAGGTTTGGCTATTAGAAATATTATGATTCAAGGTTGAATCTTTTGTTTTTGGTTATTGAAAAGCAGCTGAAATTTGCACTCTTTTGGTTCCTTTTCTGTTTCATCAGGTTGAGGTGGAACGGATAGATGTTGGGGTGCCTGAGAATCCAGGTTTGTTTTTATGATAGTTCTTTTCCTTTTTGGTTCCGAAATAAGAATATACATCGGATTTTTCGCTTGTCAAAGAATGCTTTTCGTTCCCTCGAGAGGATCGGAATCAAACTTCATAATGCCATGATTAAATTAAGTAGACATTGCTTGTTCTTTAGTTGCATTTCACTGCATGAAGCTCTGTATGCAAGTGAGAACAGTATGGTGTTTGTTTACTTCCTCCGACAAAATCAGTAGGATCACGATTTGGTATTGTAATGACAAAAACATTTTCACGAAAAGAGCTTTCAGTCATTTTAAAAGCACTTCCAAATGAGCCCTCAGCTCTAACAAACTAAAATTCAAAACTTTTTCGTGTAATGACATTTGGCTTGGAATCTGGAACCTTGACGAGTTAATTCTTTCCTAGTGGAGAGGAGGGGCGTATTTTGTCTCAGCTTACCTTCCTGTCAAGTGTTTTTTTTTCCTTTCATAAGAATATTTCTTTTGTCCCGCAGAATGGGGTGCGTAGTTTCTCCATTGTCCAGTTGCAAACACTTTTGGTGCACAATTGTGATTTGATACTCACATATGCACAATACCTTTCACTACACATTTGAGGTAGCCAAACCCAATGTAGATTTAATTGGGGCCGCTGAAGAGTCCACTCAGTCTAACCCCAATGGTTCTACCTTATATTACTATGTTTGTACTGAAATCATTTTACCAACTCAAATATTACTGTGCCAACCCCCATCCTAAATGTTAAAAACTTTCGAGCGCTGTTCTTGGGCTGAGCTTTTTCTGGACTCTAAGAAACTTCTTTTTACTTGTTTTTTACTGATTCATGGTCACATGATTAGTCGCCAGTTGTCCGCCTGACTACTTTGGCATGCGTATGAATTTGCTAACATGACCTTCACCCCGCCTTTTCGAAGTCTACTGAAAACAATAAAGAATTTCATCTTGCATATGTCTTCATTCCTCTATGCTGTGTCTTGTCCAAAAAGTAATGATGCTGCTACTGTTTTTTTTTCTCAATTTTGTTTGCGCAGTTATCATATATCCTTATGTTTTGTTCATAATCTACAGGTGCGAAAGCTGCCAATAAAGGTGTGATTGATTACTCATCTGATCAACCAAATGTATCTGCTGCCTCGCCAGGCCCTAAGAATGAAGAAGTTAACGATGAACACCAGGATATAGATATTGAAGACCTTTTCGGTAGTTTATCACCCGATGATGGGAATGCTGCTGAAGATGAAGCCAATCCTGAATTTGACATCATTATGCCACATCAGAATGATAGTGATAATGAGATTGCTGATGTAGATGATAGCGGTGATGAAGTTGACAAGGGGCCAAATGCCGCAGAAGCCCTTCGAGCCCAGGTGATGAATGCACAGGGGAGGGAAACACACACTGATATGTTTGGAGACGAGGGGAATGCAGAAGGGAGGAAAACTGAGACTTCTAGTTCAAGTAGTAGCAGCGGAAGTAGCAGCGGAAGTGGGAGCAGCAGCAGCGGAAGTAGTAGTGGGAGCAGCAGCAGCAGCGGCAGTGAAAATGGTGGTAATAATGCAGGCAGTGATGACGATTCAGTCAACTCCATCTGAGATGTCGGGCAATTCTGGAAAGCTTGTCAAAGACGGTCAACAGTCCCAAAGGATGTTTACGCAGGCAAACGGAGCTTGAAGAAAAACAGAAGATAATCATACTGTTATTTGTACATGCTAATATTTTGTGAGATGAGATAATGATGCCACATAAGTTTTGTCATAAGCCGATACCTTGTATGGGTTACAACATAAAAGGAGCAAAATTTTGACTCATAAAAAGCAAGAGGAAAACTAATGAAAAAGATTTGAAAACTTTGAGTTTTAACGATAAGGATAAGATAAAGAGTAAAGTGAACAGTATCACGATTGACTTCTTAGTATAAAACTGTAGTTTTTTGTTAAAACTTCCAAAAGCAAGCAAAAGCAAGAGCCTTGAGTTTTATATTTTGATAACATTTGATCTAACGTTTTTTAGAGACGCTCTTATTAGATTTGCGAGCTATTCTAGTCAGGTAGTCCTACGAAAATTTGGTTAGCTGTTTTTCTAGAAGCATGACACGATGTCAGCATTCTATTAAACTTCAAATTCATTATTGGTCTTGTTTTAAAATTGAAAACCTAACTTACTAGTGTTATTATTTTGTATCATAATAATAGTATTTATTGTCAATGACTCTTAATTGCACGTGACATTCCTTAATCCATAAAATTTCCTCATAAAATGCACCTAATTATAATTAGCAATTAAAGAAAACAATTATGCTTTGGTCATCTCCATCTGTGGGCCCAACAAACCACCAATGTTGAATCTGCCATTGAAAAACCCAATAGCTCACCTCATCACACACGTCACCAAATATGCAGATCTCTATTTCTACCCACCAAATTTGCTATTTACAATAAGAAACGCTGATGGAAACTCTAACAAAACTCAAGAGTTTTTATGAATTTTTTTGCCACTTTGTATTTTCTTGCACAATAATTTATAACATTGTTACAAGTTTGATATTAAACAATAAAATGACAGAGAATTCATAAAAAATCCTTTAAAATTTCTCTTGCACAATTTATACCAAAAAGAAAAAACGAGCGAAATTTCTTTTAATAGACAAAAAGTTCAATACACAAAATCGTACTGAATTGTATTTCCAGCATACTAAAACATCTCTTAAAACGAAAGTGGCCCGCCGCCCCCATATTCCAATCGCCTTAAACACGTAGCCAAATCGCCTGGTCGGGGAACGTGCGGCCACGCGCGTTTGACGAGCGTGGGATGTTTTTCACTCCCAAAGTTTATTATTTGGGGCCACATGACAAATTAAATTTAAAATTAAAGACAGAGAGTGTGAACATAAACTTTTATAAGATCATATCAAACAAATCAAAAAATTCCACAGGGAAAAAATCGATGAACTCTTTCTTCTTCTTCTTCATCGCAACAAAATCAAACTTGGAAACCCTAACCCTAGCTCTGTTACACAGCCAGAGAGAGCAATTATTGTAGAGAAAGTGTGCGTTAGAGAGAGAAAGAACTGAAATTTGACGGTTGTTGATCCAACACATAACGAATAGTTGAAGACAGTTACTTTTTCTACAGCTCAATCTTTAAAGACCCAATCTTCAAACAGCTTCCCCACCATTTTTGCAAGATCCTGACCGACCCATTACCTAAATCCGTCTGAAAACCCTAATTCCACCAAAACCCACATCCCAATTTCCACTTATTTGACTCAGCAACCGACCCATATGCCCCAACTCCGCCACCAAAAACCAGCTGAGCCGCCAACATAACCGACCCATTATGGGAGCTGAGAAGAAATGGCTCCTAACGCTCTTCTCAGCCACATTCCTCTCTCTCCTTCTCCTCCTTCTCTCCTCCATCTCCGCCTTCAGCTTCCCCAAACCCTTCCCTTCAATTGTCCAGCACGGCTCTCACTACCCGCCCGCTTTCGCTTACTACATATGGGGCGGCCGCGGCGATAGGGCTCGGATCTTCCGGCTGCTGCTCGCCGTCTACCATCCCCGAAATCGATACTTGTTGCATCTTTCGGCTGACGAATCTGAAGAAGAGCGCCGACGCCTTGCCGCCGCTATCAAGGCTGTGCCTGCAATTCAGGCGTTTGGGAATGTGGATGTGGTGGGCAAGCCTGATCGAATCACTTACATGGGGTCCTCCAATATTGCCACCACGTTGCGCGCGGCGGCGATTTTGTTGAAGGTTGATAGTGGGTGGGATTGGTTAGTCACTCTGAGCGCCATGGATTATCCACTTATCACCCAGGACGGTATGCAAATTTATGTAATTTCTTTGTTTTATTGACCATTTTTCCTTTAACTTGCTTGGGAATATAAATACGGTCTATAAAAAGATTGGATTTTGTTGGGGAATTCAATTTATTATTGAATATTTTGTTTAAATTGACTGAAGGAATCTGGCTCTTAGGGTTGGGGAAAGTGTTTATCTGGGGAAGTACTTATATGTAGGATAAATTAAAGCGAAAAGTTTCCATTTTTGTTAGAGCCATATATTTATAGGGGGGAGGTTGGCATAGCCCAGTTTGGAGCAACTGCGAAAAGTCATAGTTCAAATCCCCCTCCTCCAGATGTCCCAACTGATTCTTGTATAGGATCAACTGCAATTATTTTTCGTGTACAATCGGGAAAATGGTATGTTGGATGTGCCGGGTATTGAGAAACTTGATGTATTGGCATAGGAATAGGATGCTGTTTCTTTGACCTGGTAACACCAAATTTAGTGAACTTAATATTGTCATGTCAGCTCCTTATGCTGAACCTCTTGGCTTCTGCAGCTGTCATTCTGAAGTTGACTTTTGAGCTAAATTGTTCTAACGTTTAGGTGGCTCTCGTCGACTGTCCTTTTTTTTCTTTTCCTAATGGATTGGGTATAAGCTTCTGCTTGTATGGGCCAAAAAACAAGGGTTTACCTTATACCCAATTATCCAGGAACAAGATCCTTGACAAACAAAACCCCGAAAAGAAACATGTATCAGGACAGATATCTAGGACACTTATTGGGATTTCACTCGAGATGTTTGATGTATTTCAAGTGTTTTATTTGATGTATTTCATTCAAGTCTATTGATTTCACTTGAGATGAGAGAGTTTTTAGGGGACTTTATGGGGAGTTTAGCTGGTGGCGTTATTATTTATGCAGAAAGATTGGATATTGGTCTATTGTCTTTAGTAATTGCCTGAGTTTTAACATTAATAATCTGTACTGCAGAAAATGCTAAAGAACTTCTTTTTTAAGTAGAAAGTGTGTGAAAGTGAATATCAGTCTTTTGGTCTTAAAGACATTTTCTTGTTCATACTTGGTTCTAACTGCAATAGAGCATATAAAGAATCCTTAGGTTGAAGGATTCTATTTATTGTCACTTCTTCCAACGAACACGAAAAATTGCATCAAGGTTGCATACAATCTATGCGGATATAGTACATATGGAGATAAAAGGAATTAAAATGCTGTGTTACGATTTTCCTTAATGCTCAGAGATTTTACCAAGGGCAACACTTTTAATGTTTTACGATGAAGTTCTCCAGGCCACCAACTTTGTGCCCGCTTCTTGCCTTGTTGGTACATTTCACAATGTACAGCAGTGACAATGCACATGGTGTGCATCTTTGACAATTCTGTGAAGGTTATCTGTCCAAGGGAGACGATAATTCACTTATTTCTTGTTACTGTTACTATTGTTATAGCTTTATTGTCAGGCATTTCTTTTAAGTTTAAATGTGTACTCTAATTTCACTGTGCTGGTTTTTTTTTTTTTCCGATAAATGATTGCATTATGTTGTTTTTCTTCATAAATTACACCAACTAATTCACTTCTGCTTCTGTTTTGTACTTTCAGATCTGTCTCATGTATTCTCATCTGTCAGAAGAGATCTCAATTTTATTGATCACACTAGTGACCTTGGATGGAAGGAGTAGGCAAACCCTTTCGCTAATTTTTCTTTAGCTTTCTGGGCAACATATTTCTAATTGAACCTGAACCCATGTTTTTAATATTTGATGTAGGTTGCACAGGGTCCAGCCAATAGTAGTTGATCCGGCGACATACCTAGCCAGAAGGAGCCAAATTTTTCATGCTACAGAGAAGCGGAAAACCCCTGATGCTTTTAAAGTATTCACAGGCAAAGTCTAACACACATTTATATAAGATTACCCATATCGATATTCTGTCCACATGTTGAACTGCTAATTAGAAACCTTTTTTTTTTTCCCTGATTTGCAGGTTCCCCATGGGTCACTCTGAGCAGATCGTTTCTGGAATTTTGCATTCTTGGTTGGGATAATCTTCCCCGGACCCTGCTCATGTACTTTACAAATGTGATATTGTCACAGGAAGGATATTTCCATTCAGTTATATGCAATTCACCAGAGTTCAAGAACACTACTGTGAACAGTGATCTAAGATACATGATCTGGGACACACCCCCAAAAATGGAACCCCACTTCCTCAACACCTCGGATTTTGATCAAATGATTCAAAGTGGAGCTGCTTTTGCCCGACAATTCGAGAAAGATGACCCTGTGCTGGATATGGTCGATAAAAAGATCCTCAAGCGTGGGAGAAATCAAGCTGCCCCGGGGGCATGGTGCTCGGGCTGGAAAAGCTGGTGGATGGATCCGTGCACTCATTGGGGTGATGCCAATATCTTGAAGCCTGGGCCCCAAGCAAAGAAGTTTGAAGAGTCGATCACTAACCTTCTTGATGACTGGAATGCACAATCAAATCAATGCCAATGACGATGTCTGTGCTGAAAATGTCTCCAGATACCCGGTATGGTTTTCCTGTGAGCTAAACTTGATTAGTTTAGAAGACTGGCAACCGCAGGAGATATATTCTTTGGCCCCTAAGAACACTTTTCGTTTTGTGGGTTCGTCCAGTCTCATGCTTGACTATTGTTTATAACGGGGCGTCGGGGCAGAGTAGAAGGGAGAAACATAGTGAGTTAGCTTGAGGTATTGCCACTTACCGTAGCATGGCGGGCTGTTACCGATGGTATTGCCACTCGTAGCTTTTGAGTAACTGAGTTAATAAGAGGCTCTCCCTCTTTTTGTGCTGCCATTCCATGCTCTTGTATGTCTACTTCGATTCGGTTTACATTCGGACATGTTTGAATGTTGGATCACAAATTCATTCTTTCACCTCTGATCTGTTGTATCTTGTTCTAAATTCATAGTGAATCTCTCCCCCTCTGGTTTCGAACTCGCCCCTTCATGATATTTGAATTTAAGACCGCGCGCTCACCACGAGATTCGAACTCACCCATCACTTGTAATGTGTATGAACTTTAAAATATCGTAATCTAAATCGTTCATTTTATAAGTAATAAGAACGAAATAAAATGGTTCTCTCTCGAATTTTCCCTCGTGTATCAATCAAAATCCATCTGGGTTCCTATGCAATCGCACTGGTAGTTTTCACGGAGCAGTCCACGACGGTCTGGAAAAAACCCAAGTGCTGGATGACGCCGGTGACAAAACCCCACTTCTCAAAAACCCCAAAGTCTCAGAGCATGCTGATAAAATCTGCAAAATGCTATCCACCAGCAGCTCTAATTCCCAAATCGAGAGCTTACTCGACGGTGCTTCCGTGGACGTCTCGCCGACGCTTGTGGTGACGGTCTTGAAGAAGTTCAGCAACGCCGGCGTCCTCGCGCTCTCGTTCTTCCGGTGGGCGGAGAAGCAGAAAGGGTTTAAGCACAACACGGAGAGCTACAATGCGTTGATTGAAGCTCTAGGTAAGATCAAACAGTTCAAGATGGTGTGGGAATTGGTGAACGACATGTAGATCAAAGGGCTGCTGAGTAAAGAGAATTTTGCGCTGATTTCGCGGCGATATGCGAGGGAGAAGAAGGTTAAGGAAGCCATTGATGCGTTCGAGAAGATGGAGAAGTTTGGAATAATGGGGCCAAGAACAGAACTTTTTGAGGTTGAATGAGGTTTATAGAGAAATGAAGGACGAGGGTTTCGATCCAGATGTACGCTATTCTGATCAATGCACATTGTAAAGCGAAGAGGTACGATGAAGTGATTGAGTTGTTTCGTGAGATGGAATCGAAGAATGTCAAGGCTACTCCTCATGTCTTCTGCATTTTGATTAATGGGTTGGGTTCTGGAAAGAGGTTGAGTGAAGCCCTTGAGTTTTTTGAGCTGAATAAAGCCAGTGGTTTCGAAACGGAGGCACCCACGTACAATGCTCTTGTGGGGGCTTACTGCTGGTCGATGCGGATGCAGGATGCGTGTAGGGTGGTGGATGAGATAAGGAAATGTGGAATCGGTCCCAATGCCCGAACTTAAGACATAATCTTGCACCACTTGGTAAGGGCTCGAAGAACAGAACAAGCTTACTCCATTTTCCAGCAAATAAGTAGGGAGCCTGGCTGTGAGCCGACAGTAACTACATACGAAATCATGGTGAGGATGTTCTGTAACGAGGATCGCGTGGATATGGCATTGCAGGTTTGGGATCAGATGAAGACCAGAGGTGTCCTGCCAAGAATGCACATGTTCTCCACATTGATTAACAGCTTGTGCCATGGGAATAAGTTGGATGATGCTTACAAGTACTTTCAAGAGACGTTGGACTCTGGTAATCGACCTCCAGCGCAGTTGTTTAGTAATTTGAAACAAGCCCTTCTCGACGAGGGGAGAAAGGATGTTGTGATAAGTTTGGGTCTTTAGATTGACAGGCTCAGGAAAACTCCGTTAGTCGGGTTGCGCTAAAGAGACATTCGAGAGCTATTCGATACTGATGGCTGCTAAGATTGATGTATTAGTATTCTGGGGCTTATTCTTGTTTATCCAGCGTTCAAATTGTAGGACTTGTTTGACAACGTTGCAAATTACTTGGGAGAAAATCAGAAAGAAAACTAAAAATTGCACAGATCAACCTTCGAAAACTACACTTATACATAATTCCCAAACACGAACTAGATTGAAGTTCACTGAACTGACAGATTTTACAATTGTGTTCATATGCTCAACAAAAAGATGCCAAATCTAGAAACCCGAAAAAAATCCGAAAATGCCAAGAACCCTAACTCCACACATGAAAGAGCAGAAAGAGCTAGCATTACCAGAAACCGAGGCATTCAACTGAGATAACCATAAATCAAAAGAAACCCTAGCAAGATTGTTTATGGATGCCTGTAAGCATAAAAATGGTTGTGACCAATCGCATTCTCATCAGCAGGGGAGCTGTTACCAAGTTCAGGCGAAGCCACAGCCACTTGTTCCGGTTTCTTTGTTTCCTCTGTTCTCTCTGGCACATCAAGAACTTGCACCACAAGTCACCCATTGTGATAAACTTCCAGCAAGGTAACCGACACGCCATTGAGCATCAAGACGTCATTGGACAGGGTGATATTGATCGAAAACCCCACGAGATTCGTCCTCAGAACCGTCCCATCATTCAAGCTCACCAAATCGGTCCACAAAAGCCTGCAGGGTACCACGTGGCGATGGAAGATGGAGGAGTACTCGCTCAAGTTTCCGACCCGGTTCTTAAGAACTTGGTCAAACGGAGAAAGCGCAGTCAGCATCGTCTGGAACTTGAAGAAAGAACCATGAAATTGCAGCTCAAGAAACGACGCCATGACAGAGCACCCTTTGGATTTCAGCGCGGCGGAAGCGTCGTTGAAGGGGACTTTACCGTCTCTGAGCTCCATCCTCTGATCTGGGTTCTCCTTGGGGGCCAAGCAACGGAGGTTCTTGGGGGTGTAGCTTCGAATCGGACCCGAAATCTGAAAGTACGGATCCAAGAACCTGTTGATTCCAAAAATGATCAGCGACCCATCGTCGAAAATTGGGGAAGCAGTGACGCTAACGTTGTTGAGCGAGAAGTGATAGTCTGACGGCATAGTGGTGACGGTGAGAGTGCGGTCGAAGAGTAAAGCTGCGATATTGGCGCCGAAAGGGAGGGACTTTAGGGATCGGCGAGAGAAATGGAGGGGGAGGAGGTTCATCGGCGGCTGGCCGGAGTGAGAAAACGCGGCTTCGTTGGGGGCGAAGATGGTGACGGAAGGAGAGCGGGAATGGAGGAGGGTGCGAAGGCGAGGTCGAGGGGGTGTAGCCCGAATCCGAGAGGATTTCGACGGCGTTGGCGAGGGTTTGGGTGTGGAGGGCGGAGGAGAATTTGTAAGGGTGTTTTTGGCGGGTTAAGTTGGGACACGTGGAGGTGTGGGATTTGTTGAGGAAGGTGGGAGTCGAAAAGTTAGTTAAGGGCGTAGGGAGTTTGTTTTGTGGATTAATTGATAAGTAATGGGCCGAGACCAAAAAAGAGCCCAAACAAGAGTTCAGGCCGAAACCAGAAACAAACCAAAAGAAACTCTGAGAGGTCTATTGCCACTGTCCCTACTACAATGCATCTCGACCAGCACGATCCCACGCCCACAATCAGATCGCCGATTGCATCATCCAGCAACGAGCGACTCGCGGATCGCAGCCACAACGTAAAAAAACCAGTCACCAAGTGAAAGAAGCCTATGGGAGTCCACGAGCAACGTTGGCAAAAAGGCAGTCAGAGAGAAAGCGGTGGTGTTGTGAACACCCTAGTCGGTGGGGACATTAGAACTCTATACACCTTCTCAATGTAACCACAACAAAGCGCGGTATGGAGTGACTGCATATCAAAGTGGAGAAGGTCTAGGAGGAGGGACGCCGATGTGGTGTGCAAACAAGCCAAAACGGGATTGAGAACACAGGAAAAAGCAGCATAAGGAAAGAAAGGGGAATTTTATGGATTAGGACAGTTCTCATATTAGTTGATATTACTTTGAGATTGGGTGGGATCAAAACATAAAGGATCTCGTATTTTTAGGAGAGTTTTCTTAATAATGGTGTTAAGTCGGTCAGTGGCACAGTTGGAATTTTTAAATAATGGAGTCATGATTTCGACCATAAAACTTCATTGGACCATTTCGTCAAGCATCTGGTGTAGGAACATGTTGATTCCTGTCAACATCTAATGAAGGCTTATGCCAACATATGTTAACAATAACTATGATATGTAGAGGCTTGTCAAGGGTGGATACAGGAAACTGTAGCGTAATGTTGAAGACTGTCAAGGCTTGTTAACTAAGGCATTTCATCGAGCATTTGGTGCAGACAATAGAGTCGTACACAAGAAGAGAGAAAACGAAGACAAGGATGATAAAAAAAAATAGAAGAGGAACTATGAGGAGGAAGTTCTAATTTAGTTTTCCCTAGCTATTTATTGGGTCAAATACAACACCATTCAAAACTACAAATACTCATAGGTTTTGGAAGTTGCAAGTGGCCCTTTACCACAGTGGTGGAAAGGTGTTGAGCCCTTGCATAACGACGTAGGTTCGAACCCTGTCGGTGACTAATCTAACAAATCTATCGTTTGACAAAAAAAAAAAATTTGGAAGTTGTTGGGGCCATCAACAACCAATGATCTCGTGTTGGTTCTACCATTGAAGTCGGTGAGAACAAAAAAAAAGAGAGAAAATTTTGTATTTTTGTGAGAGATGTTTACGGATGGGGTGGTCCGAATGCCCCGATTTTGAAGGAAAATTTGTCTTCATCGATCAATAATGCACGCAATTGCTTAGAAGCCACTTTAAAGAATGAAATAAATGAACATTTGATGGAAATTTCTTGAGTAGAAAATCTCTAGGACTCTATATATAGCTGCTGAGCGCCAAGCATTCGAAAACAAAGGAAAGGAGACAATTTGAATATCGTTATTGCCACGTATCTCTTGTTTTCAGCCTTCACTTACATAATAAAATGGTTTGATGTGTACTTAAATCTACTTAATGAGGTGATTAGCCTGTTTAATTCGATGGTCGCACAAGCAACAAATTATTTTATTTCACTCGCTATATGTTGACTTCCCGAGGTAGACCCATCTCATATATTTATCTATCCATCATGCAGTTTTCTTCCTTAAATACAGATTCAAAATTAGCTTGAGTGTCTCTCACGGTCATATATGTTACATGCATAATGTAATTGGTGAATAATTCAACGCAATCGTTCTTAGAATATGGCATTTCGATATTGTCATGGGGCATCAAATTTGAAATTTAGGATGCAAGGGTGAATTTTGTTAACTAATTAGTTACAAGCCTCTTTCGATAATGTCATTTAATTCAGTGTATTGTGTATGTTATATCTATAATGTAATGGGCAACTAATTCAACATTCTAAGGTTATATTTGTATCCAACACCTTATAAAAATAATTGATTACGTAGTTTTCATCTTCAACCCATCTGATTAAGAAATTAGTAACGGGAATTTGTATGGTTGTGTGTGTCCTAAGTATGACTAACCTTATAATTAATCCTGCTACACTCACAATATATTTACTGATACACAAAAATACACACTCAAATATATATATATATATATATATATATATATATATATAAACAGGAAAAATATACTTGGAGCTTGAGGTGATCAGCATCTTATATATTATGGGCAGGGAGGTTGTCACTTTGATCATGTGATGATCTCACCTGTATCAGATGAAAACGAGTGCTCATCTAGTTAAAGTTTCTTGTACGAAAGATCAAACATTTTTTTACAAAATACACACACACACAATGACGGATGTACATTGGGACTAATGTAGTGTAGAAGGATCATTCAGAGTACATAAAATATACATGTGAAGGTCTTCCGAGGATCATTCGAATGATGGCAACAAGTCCACCACGTGTTCGAGGGAAAAACGTAGACCTTTAAATATTGGAACGTCCTAATGTTCGAATCCTGGATTAACCAATATATATAGGTGAACTGCTAATTTAGTCCCTAAATTATCACTTGAGTGAAAATTAGGTCTCTAAACTAATTTTTTTTTCTTCAGAAAAATCAGTCATTGAATTATAAAAATCTACCAATTACATCCCTAATATTAGATTCGAATATACCATATTCAATTTTTTGTCAATTTAAGTCACGTTACTTGTATATGATACACATTAGAGGTTCAGAGACTTAATTTTTATTGAGGTGATAGTTGAATCGGCACTTCACCCTATAATATATATATATATATATATAAATAACTTATAACATTGTATGTACGTTACATAAAGAGTATAATTCTCTCTCATCCTAATCTCATCCATTTCTCTCCCTTCCTCTCACACTTTACTTTTTATCTTATTATCTCTATAAAAAATTAATATAAAATGTTAATATGACTTTAGCGTAAGTATTCAAGTAGAAGGGGAAGGAATGAGAGAGATTAATGGCTGCTTTGGTATTGTTGTGCTTTAAAGAAAAACAGCTTTTGCTGTGTTGTGCGAATAAACAGTTGTGAAATAAAGTAATAGAGTGTTTGGTAATTTTTTTTTGTAAAAGTGCTTTTGAAAAAAAAAAAAAAAACAGTATTATAATATTTGATAAACTTTTATGTAAAACAGATGTGAAAAAAAACTGGTTTTTCAAAGTTGGGTTTTGCATCTGTTTTTGGCTTTTTTTTTCACCCAAAACTATGAAAAAAAACTGAAACTGAATGTTTACCAAACATAAAAAAGCTCCCAGCTTTTTTTTGATAACCACTTTTTTTCAAAATCACCTCAGTACCAAACTAGTACTAAAATGGGAGATAAATTCTTCTCCGTTTCATGATGACAGTAGCGGTCTAGGGATCGAGGCGCGTACAAGGACGTTTACCAAAAGTCCAACTAACCCATCACCTCAATATTCAATCATGCATCACTTCCGGTTTGCATTGGCCGTACGTTGTTTCCAGTGAATTTCCAACATCTGGTCCCATGTTTTAATTTCAAAATTACAATTTTTTTGCAAGAGATTCCAGAAGTTGTTCAAAGGACTCTTATTTTGTACTATATTTTGTTGTTAGTGTTGTCACGATGATGGCAGTCGATCCTTCAAAAATCGAACAGCAAGATAACTTGCTTTTTTATTGTCAAAGATAACTTGCTCAAATTAACGATTCTTTTGCACCAAAATTAATAATTTTAGTCAATCTAAAGCACGGAGTTCATAGATTGTCGTGGCCGCGTAACCATAAGTTGGTAAGACTTTATCTCTTCATGTTATAATTACACGGTTTAAAGCAACTTACACGCCCATGAATCCTTAATTTCGAATTTTACTTCTCTAGCTAAATATCGCTTGCTTGCGTACCTAAAAAGTTGGAGAAATAAGAAACCAACATGCAAAGTCAGGATCAAATTGAAGAAAGAATCAACATTCTTGGGCTACCACCTACATAATAATTGAGCAGCTAGCTTTTTATTTCCCTACTCGTTTTCATGCTTGTGTACCATTATATAATATATACACTTTTGTTCTTCTTATTGTTATACTAAAAGTAATGGAATAAAAGACAACCGATCATGAAAAATATGTAAGCAAATATTTCCTCAATAATGCATGTAAATTTGGAAATTTTAAAGAATCCCTTGCTAGGTAGGGTTTCCATCGTGCCAACAATCATCACTACATGTTGAGTTGACTCATGCCACTCACTCGACTGCATGACCCCGAGCTAATCAGGTTCCCCGGTTTGCTAAGGTCAGAGAAATCGTGTATCGTACGCAACCTTACTCTTGTTTAGAAAATAGATTGTTTTTACGACTCCCTTTGCTTTGCAAAGAGCCTTACCCTTTCCGATGCCACTCATTCGACTTCATAATTTCTGAAAACGACATGCATGTATACATACATGAATTATGGAGCTGGAAGTCTGCAAACCATGAAAATTTTGAATTTCAGAAAAACAAAAAAGAAGACCATGAAAATCTCCCCGAGTGGATGTGATATAAGCATACATTTGGCTAGCGATGTCTCACCTAAACTCTTGAATAATTGGACCCGTCCCATAAATTCTTTTGTTTTGATCGGCTCGTTCTCAAGAACCATACATATTTTAGATTTTTGCATGACATTTATTATTGCATGTTCGTTCTCTCACACTCAGCTTCCATTATTGCGTTTTTCGTCTTTGTGGAAGATATGTATTGACCTCAGTTGTTTTACGTACTTGTGGTTTAGAGGTTTAAACTTTTATTTGAATAATATCTTTATGAAGAACTTGGCATTAATTAATTAGCAATAAGGAGAGTAATCCAAACTCTTATAAGCCTTGTAATGTTTCTCGTTTCGCTATTGTAAGATTCTTTTACCTTTACATCCTCACACTCATCCTTGTGTGTGGCAAATTTTCAAGCCAAATACGTGGACAACACAAATTAGATGACATTGAACACGTGTATCTCGTTGGCCTTCACATGTGAACCAGCATGCTCTGATACTATGACGAAATTGGTGTTCCATTATAAAATCAAGCAATATGAGAAGTTGCCCAACCTCTTACAAGCCCTTATCATATTTCTCTTATCGTCAAATATAACTTTTTTACCTTTACATCTCACACTTTATATTAACTACGTGATTCATTCAAAATTCTAGAATTAGCCGCGCCTTGTATGATTTGAGAAAAAAGGTGGATGATGTCCAGCAATTAACACTGGTTTCATCCTAGCAAATGATTCAAGACAGAGGGGCTCCAGATCATTTAATTTTTTATTCTTTGAAAACTCTTTTAGTGTCAGTGAGAACCGTCGCCATCTTACAGCAAACATCTGCAACAGGTTCATCAATAATCACCTCCATACCCTTCCCCCCACCCCTAACACCAACACCCCACAAGAAAAACGAAAAGGAAAGAGCGTGTATGTGTGTGAATTTGTTTTATAAAAAAAAAATAAAGAGTCGGCCAGAAACAAGGCCAACAAAACATGTGCTTTGAGTCTCATTTTGAACTACTCGTATTTTCTTCGTATATTTATTTTATGTATATATTAAACTTTTCAGCAAAAGAGAATTAAAAAAAATAATAATAATTACTTATTCTCCTACATATACATAATGTGCCTTAAATTCATTTTGTTGTATAATTTCACTAGTTTATGAAAAAAATTATATTAAAATACTGAATTAAGAACGTCTCGTTGCATCTTTTTTCATAGGTCTCCCTTTTTTCATAAGTCTCCTTTTGCATTGGGACTATTTTGTTCTGATTATTTAAATTGGATGCGCGTAAACCAAGTTCATGGTGGACATAAACATCAGTAATAAATTAATTGCCACATTTTCAAACCTTCTTTTGTCAACATTTATGCATGATTTGGCTGTAACTTTCGTTTTTGGAGGCATACACTGTCTAGTAGGCCATTGAACAGAACAATCCCTTTTCTTTGGGCTCAAGAAAACAGCAAGACGACAGCCTCCAATTAAGCTGTCAAACATATACAAACCATCGAGGTTTGCTTCCTTCCAGATATCTCCCTTTCATTTTTATCTTTTTCCTGTTTTTTAAATTAATAAAAAAGTTGCTAATTTGATTTTTCTTTTTATTTTAGGTGGTGCTATTCATACATCCATTTTTATCTCTCACATATTCTTCTCAATTTTCGGTATTCAGAACGAATGAGTTAAAGAATATCAATTGATAAAAATTAGTAATAATGTATGAGAAGTTAAAATAAGTGTGTGAATAGTAGTATACTTTATTTTTGTTTTAATTTTTGCCAAGCTGTTGGGCATGAGCGCGTGATATCTTGAAGAATAGCAGGAATTGAGGACGCATGTCACTATCTTTTGCACTACCTTTTGGTTAAGCTCAACTTGCACCGCCCATGAGCCTTAAAACTCATGTTTGAGTTTTGAGGGAAAGTGAGACTCAAATTTCAGTTTTAATATGAGATTTAAGTTGAAATTTTTTTATTCAACCAAAGAAAATAAGATTAAACTTTGAGTCCAATAATCTCCAATACACATAACTAAATTATTAAAATTCATATATGAATTTTGAGTCCAATGTTTTCTTATCGATGCAAAGACTCAAAAATGAGTTTTAAATCTTTGCATTATTAGATGAGGACCAAGTCACACTACATTCTGATTATAAATATCTTTGTTCTCGCCCCAAACACACTGCCTTTGCAGCAACACATTCCCTTTCCCTCTCTCTCCTCTCTCTCCTCTCTTCCCCCCCTACCCCTCTCTCTCTCTCTCTCTCTCTCTCTCTCTCACTAGCAAAAAAAAAAACTCAGATCAGAATTATCAGAGTGGAGAGAAATGGGTGCTCTGGATGCTCTTTCAGACTATTTCACAATCTCAAGACCAAGAAAGAAACGAAAGCCAATGCAGGTATACTATACATCATCAAAACCTTCAAAACCAATACAAAATCTCAGTTTGGCTTGTGATATTCTGCTCCATGTAGTAGTTTGCATGTGCCTTAATCTCTTCTGATTAAGTTTTTCCATGGCTAAACACGTAACTAATCACATCTCTCTGCTCTTAATGTTGTTTAATTTTGCAGACGGTTGAAATCAAGGTGAAAATGGACTGTGATGGCTGTGAAAGGAGAGTCAAAAATGCTGTGTCTAACATGAAAGGTTCGAACTTCTCTTTCTCTATACATGTTATTTACCCATACTTAACCCTAACTGCAGCATGACTAGCTAGGTACTTAATTAGGAACCCATGATTAATTTTTTATGATAAGAAAGAAAAAGGAAGCATATATACATGCATGTGATGATCATCAAAGGCTGGACACCCAGAGTTTCTGAGCATCCTCGTAAAGCAAAAGTCTTCTGCAACTGACAGAAAAATTTACTTTGACTCTCTTCTCCAGTACTCAAACATCTGACATAATAATTGAATCTTACCTTTAATATGTGGGACGGGACCCTTGTTAGTTAAACCTAGTTAGATTAATTAAATACAATATTAACGTGTTATTATGCATAAATTCAGGCGCTAAGCAAGTGGAGGTGAACAGAAAGCAGAGCAGGGTGACCGTGACGGGATACGTGGAGCCAAACAAGGTGTTAAAGAAAGTGAAGAGCACAGGGAAGAAGGCAGAGATTTGGCCATACGTGCCTTACAACTTGGTGGCATATCCTTATGTCGCCGGAGCTTATGACAAGAAGGCTCCCTCCGGCTACGTGAGGAACGTGACTCAGGCACTTCCGGGCCCGAATGCGCCGGACGACAAGTATACCTCTATGTTTAGCGACGAAAATCCACATGCTTGTTCTATCATGTGAAGTGATTTAGAAGTAATTAAGAAGGGTTGAAATTCACTGGCTTAATTAGATTAGACTACAGTTAGTAAATTATTGTTGTATGCGGACTATGATCGATTTATGCCACGTTGTGCTTTGAGTTTTGTTTGTATTTAGGTTGATTTGTGTTGTTTAATTTTCTCCTTGATGTTTAGGGTTGTACGTACTTAATTTGATGATGATCATTTTCGGTAAACTTTTTGAGTGTTCTCATGTTATCACGTAAAATTATTATGATCGGTGCTCTTCACACACTCATTTTTACTTCTTACACACTCCTTTCAATTCTTTGTTTTCAAACCGAATGAATTGGAAAAAATATCTTTGAAATGGAGGAATTCTAGAATGTGACCTTTCAGATCATTGTCCATGCGGAACTAGTCACGCCAATAGAGAGCCTGTTGTATATTACCCACCCTAAGTTCACCCTATTTGATGTCAAATACGGAAGGGAATACAAAAAAAAAAAACTCATCTTACAAATAAGGTGATCAGGTCATTGTATGCAAATTTTCTCCATATTATTGTCCTTCCTTGCTCATTAAATATTAGATTAGGTATGTTTTGTAACACTAAAAGGGTAAAATAATACCCAATTAACAATATAAAATCAAATCATTCGACGTATGTTTGCAAATGAAACAATTAAACAATCAAATCACTGTCTCTTAGATATGTGCAATAGAGTGGCGGAATCATCAAGCCTTTTTGTGAAATTTTTGAAAATATTCTTTATGATTATATTTGATTATTTATACACTGATGTTGCATTTGTGCCCTACCAACACCAATCAACCATCCATTTTAAATTGTTTTATATCCAGCACTTCCATTGAAGATGGAAGAAAGATATCTCGGGACTTTTCATCCTCTTCGTTGGGAACTTTGGGATAAGGACCATAAGGTACAAGCGCTCCATACGCAGAACAAACTTCTCCTACATTTGGCATTATTAGACAAAAATATATTGGCAAGAATTTGATCAAAGATTCATAATATAATATAGTTTTTTAGTCAAAATAGTTCATGAGATTAATATAATTCTTTACTTTGGTCCTTAATATTAAAAATTGATAGAAGTGGTTCCTGAGTTTGTCTACCGTAAATTATTTTGATCTTTTCGTGAAAAATCTTCATTAAATAGAAAAGCAAGTAAATAGGTTAATTCGACAAAAATACCTTTAATTTTATACTAGTCACCATAAGCGTTCTAGATCTAGCTTCGTTATAATTATAGCAAAAACAGAATACGTACCGCATATACTACTCATATATTCAACAAATGATATATTGATCAATATATGTTTGATATATGAGTGACCAATCGATTGCTATATGTCTCAATTTTGCTACAGTACATCGAGATATCTTTTAAAATTTGGTCGTATATATGTGGATACATGTCCAGTAAATCATACTATCCTAAGCTTCTGGGTAGTTTCCACGTGTAACATGTAATCGCACTTAGCATATCTGTCGTCCACTTAAAAGTTTTGATCCGAATTAAGAGTAAGATTTTATAAGAGTTGCCTCTTGTAAAATCACAACTCAAAAAGAGCACTGAAAGGATAAGCTCCATGTAACTTTCACTACTCCACCTACTCTGATCAGAATTCATATACAACAATAAAAAGAATTGAGAAGATAAGCCTTCATGTAACTTTCACCCCCAAAATATATGCTTATGCTGCATGCATGAACCAATATGTTATTATATATAAAAATATACTCACTTTTTTGGGTCATACCAGATATGTATTTGGAACATAACAGATTTAGAAAGAACCAATAGTATTGTGATTTCGAAACCAATCTTGTGATTATATTAGTTATTCCTAAAATACGAAATCAACATGATTGATCCTGTCAAAATGATAATTAATATTGTGTACCTACGTACCATCTTTCGTTTGAGAACATTTATATGCACTCGTTGCATGCAACATCTTTATAGTGTATATAATCATGGGCAGCTCATATACAATGTCGCAGAACGTGAGAGAGATGTTGCATGCAACTGCAACAAATGCGTGCGCGAGGTTTCTCTGCTTTCGTTTACTGTACGTGTTCTTCAAAAGTGTACCGTCACCATCAGATGAAAAAAAAATATGCTTCTCGGAAACTTACAACTTTGCTCGGTTTAAGGGCAAATACTTGATGCTCTTGAATCAATTAGTTCCTTTTTAAAAGTTTAAACGATGTTTATGGTGGATACTTCATGCTTGGTCAAGATGCAGGCTCTTTGGCATGTTATTTTGGTTGAAAAAAAGAATATCGATCACAAAGTAAAAAAGGTAAGGGAGATTCCTTGCGTTAGTCAGCTTCTTCGTCTTTGGATTTTGGAAGTTTGAATTCAAAAAAAAAAAAAAGGTACTTCATATACACTTGTACAAGATGTTCACTTCATTTATGAATATTCTTTGAAGAATGGACCTGAACACGATATCGTTTTTAAGCTTTGCCATCTTGACTTCCTAGCTTTGTTTCTTAATTATAAGTTGTAAGCCAAAAAAGGGACTTTTTCAAAAGTAGGACTCTCTGTCACCTCACAGTTTAACGTCGATTTTCGTGCTAACATTTATGCCAAAAATATGAAGTGACAGAGAATTCATGAAGAGTCTAACTATTAAGAGAGTCTTCTTAACATTTCTCTAATCTCTATGGTTTGAGCTAATTAAATTCCACTATTTTATGCCCCCATTGTTGCAATTTAACTCCCGTTGTAGTTTACTCATTGTTGCAAGTCAAATACAAAGTTAGGTTTGCCATTTTTTCTCGAGTTACATACGTAAAGGTAAATTAGACGTTTTTGAGGTGTAAAAACATCATATGCATGCCTGGACCTCAAAGTGCTGAATCCGTAGAAATTATGGCGGAGTTCAACCTGTTTTGAAATTATAACAATTAGTAAGCTACAACGATTAATTGCACCTAAACTACAACCATAATAAAACTTGGGCCTAAATCCGAGGTTCGTTTATCTTATGGCCAAGAGTAACCCGTAATAAATCTGGGCCGTTAGCATGGGCCCAAGAAAAAGAAGAAGAAAAAAGGTGGTCGAATGGGACCTCTAAATCGGTGTTTTAGGCATCACCGATAGAGATCCTAAATGGAGTCCCAACAATCGTGTAGTTTCTAAATATATGGACAAAAGGCTCTCAATAGGCCGGAATTGAATATCTCAAAGTATCTCAACATATAGAGACTCAAAGAGTGGACCTCTTATTAACCACATGAGACAACTTCTCATTTAATTTTCTCCTGTAGCTTTTTTTTTTTTTTTTTTTCCTTCTCTTGAAAATTAAATGTTTATTTTTATCAATGGTCATAATACTCCAACAAAATAAACAATAATTTTTTAATATTTTAATCCTTACATTTAGGGATTATAATATAAGGATTTCTTATTGCGAACAATATTCTTGATGTTGGTAGTGGGAGTTCCTAAGTATGAACTCCCATTAGAGATGCTCTTAGCGTCTATGATAGTGTATTGCATCGAAAAATGGGTACGAACAAGCACAACGACCTAACAATAGAAAATTTTTCTTATATAATAACATATAACGTACTGTTATGTATTCTGGACACAACGAAAATTTCTGTTAACAATTGCCCACGCACAAACGTTCTTTCAATTTGCTGACCGGTCCTTGAACCCTATTTATCGATGAATTTGCCTATTCGATTCGTAAAAGTTGCTCGGGACCAAAATATAGGGCGTGGAATTGAATGTGGAGGCAATGAGAGCCCTTACTTTCCTTCTTGCACAAGAATAGTAGAATACACACCTTTCACCTTTGTCTGATTGCGTGCTACTCTCTCTGTCTGGTTTAAAGCAACTTCAGGACTTTGAAAAATTGCTCAGAAATGGATAAAATATGACCAAGTGAGTTGGGAATTTGTGAACCATTTAAAGGGTAACAAAGTGAACTTTCCCTTTGTCTTTTAGGAACTCGAATATTCTTTTAAAGCCTCTATATGAGTCATTGACGTTGGTAGTGGGAGTTCCTAAGTATGAACTCTCATTAGAGATGTTCTTAGCGTCTATGATAGTGTATTGCATCGAAAAATGTGTAGGAACAAGCACAACGACCTAACAATAAAAAAAATTTCTTATATAATAACATATAACGTAGTGTTATGTATTCTGGACATAATGAAAATTTTTGTTAGCAATTGCCCACGCACAAACGTTCTTTCAATTTGCTCACCGGTCCTTGAACCCTATTTATCGATGAATTTGCTTATTCGATTCGTAACAGTTGCTCGGGACCAAAATACAGGGCGTGGAATTGAATGTGGAGGCAATGAGAGCCCTTACTTTCCTTCTTGCACAAGAATAGTAGAGTACACACCTTTCACCTTTGTCTGATTGCGTGCTGCTCTCTCTGTCTGGTTTAAAGCAACTTCAGGACTTTGAAAAATTGCTCAGAAATGGATAAAATATGACCAAGTGAGTTGGGAATTTGTGAACCATCTAAAGGGTAACAAAGTGAACTTTCCCTTTGTCTTTTCGGTTTTTTTCATTGCAATCCCTAGATACATGCTCTATTTTAGCGACTTCTTCAGACTAAACCCTAAAGCATCTTCAAAGAAAATATCAAATCAGTAATAACAAGAATAAAAAACAACGCAAATGTTTTTTAATCGATGTGCCAATTCTTATGTGGCATGACATGGAATGGCTGTAAGAGAAGATGCTGTCAAATTTGACAACTCCTTCAAATCTATTTTTAATTATTTAAAATCAAGATTTGTTCCGCAGAACGCCAGGAGTCTTGACAATTTCTCCATTACCACTGCATATCAGCCAAAAAGAAAACTAATCACAAAGTACTAAAAACCATCAAACTGAAGATTAGAATACATCTTGCTGGAAGGAGCTCCTAATCGAACAAGCTGAATCCCATATCGTCATCACTCACTTCCTTGGGTTCTTCCTTCTTCTACTATGCTGCAAGAGCAGCGGTAGCAGGGGCAGCCCCACCGACACCTGAACCAGCAACGGCAACAGCAGCATTGCGGCTGCAAAACCTCAACACTTTACCATTTTTATTATGGGTGGTAGAGAGGTGAGGGAGACAAGAGGAATGATGGGTGGTAGAGAGCTGCGCGACTGCAAACCTCAACACTATCGTCTAGGGTTTTAATCTATTTTTAGTTATGAATAAATACTTTTCTTCATTATTAATT